CTCGGAATCACGCCGTGTAACTGTAGGCCTTATCCTCATCCCACCCGAATCAGAAGGAAATGTTGAGCCTTATTAATTGGTACATTACCCACCTTCCAAAGCGGAACGGATCCCTACATCACGAGCCAAAGATTTTGGGAGCGTTTCGCGAGACCCACGATGTCCCTGCTATATAAGGTCATCAACCCCCAAGACTTAGGTACACGTGATTACTTGCTCCCTAGCCTACTAGCTTTCAGCTCGCACAACTCAATACTAACTTAAACATCGGAGCGACCTCGCCGGGTTAACCACCCTGGGTTCTCTGATCCATTGTCTTGCAGCTTGGTCCAGCTCGCTACGCGACTAAGGTTCAGGTCACCTTCCAGCTAAGAGCTTCCAGGTCGCGTATAATCACTACTCTTATTAAGGCGTCAACTAATATGATCCCTCAGTACATAATGAGGTCTTTTAAAATCCTGAAAGGGGTGCTTGAAGATCTTGACAAGAAGGGGAGGGAGTTCTTGTGGTCAAATATTGGTAGGGATAGAAAATCAATTCACTTAGTCATTTGGAAACGGGTTTCCTCCCACAAACATTGGGGGCCTTGGTATTAAAAATCTTAAGTGGACAAATGAGGCTTGTCTTGCAAAGCTATGATGGGTTGCTGTAGAAAACATACTTAAGCACCTTCCAAGGACAAAAGAGTTTTGTCTAGTATTCGATGGTAGTTCACTACAGATCCAGGCCAACCCAAAGTAGGAGCATTAGACTGCAGTAAAAAACATACTTAAGCACCTTCCAAGGACAAAAGAGTTTTGTTTGGTATTCGATGGTAGTTCACTACAAATCCAAGGGTATACTGATGCCGACTTCTAGTCAGATCCAAATGATAGAAAGTCTACATCTAGATATATTTTCACGATAGGATCGTATGCTGTTTGCTGGAAGAGAGGCTGCCTAATGAATGAAGGTGTTCATTATGGAATTTGGAATTCAACACATCACCCATTCCACTGTTGTGTGACAACACTGGATCTACGGGATATTGATGTTAAAAGGTAGCATCAACGGAGAATGTGGTAGACCCATTGACTAAGCCACTGACGCAGAAAGTGTTTGAGAAACACGTGAAAAGTCTAGGACTCCGGCTTGTACCCTATTGGACCTAAGTGCAAGTAGGAGCGGTTAGACAGTGTATGCCCTTAGCTCTAATCAGAATGATGTACCTTATGACATTTAATGTAAATGAATAAAGTACATATTTGATTCATGTTATTATGGTGTGTTTCTATGTAATACCCTTAAACTAGACACTTATGAGACTCGTGTTAGTTTACAATCTTCACAGCCGTTGGATAGATCTGGAGAGATTTATCCTGCCAAGGCTGACACTGATGTGTCGCCAAGTTGGTTGGGATGGCTTGTCTCAACTGCTAGGGTGGGACCTGAGGTACATGCAATGTGGGTTTTCTTGAATCCCTAAACCGGACCAGAATTCCAGTATTGCCTTGGACCTTGGAGATTGATGGGAAAAACTGTAATGTTAAACCTGACCCCTATACTCGATTATGATACTGCACTAGGTGTCGGATTGGACAATCTTTGATATGCCAATCAGTGAGATCCTTAGAGGGGGTCAAAACCTGGGTATGTTGAGACAGTCCGAGAATTCATCTGAGTGGGTGATCATAGTGACAGGATCARCCCYTTTGTCGGACAAAGKKRATGATYGGGGATGCACTCTCTCTGATGGAAACCAAAGYTGCCGGCAGCTGATTTCAATTGTTGAAATTTGTTTTGCAAAATATATTTATATAGAGATATACATACATGCATATATATATATATATATATATATATATATATTATGGTTTCAAAATGTTTGCAAAAGGTTTTAATTCCTAGGATCCATGTGAGTAGAGTATGCAACACTAATCATTGCAGCCGAGGGAGAGGTCATCTCTTGTTGGGCAGTGTTTGATCATTATGGGCTGAGAGGTTAAGTGTAAGACCATTGAGGGTAATACCTGATAGGCTAATTTTGCATCTGCCCGCAGTCCTTGGGTTTTTATAAGGTGGCTTGACCCAATGACCACTTAGTGTAAATGTCAGGCCCATTAAGAGCCCATGGTGATGGGCTCAGTGGTTCACTGTCTTTTACAGTGAATTCAGCCAGGCCTTGTAATAGAGGCTAGGCTGAACCCATGTGGCTGATGTGTAGATCAATGTTTGGGTCCCACGCCATACAAGGATACCCAACTGGGCAGTAATTTGGAGGTTGAATGAGCACATGGACTTAATGGGCCTAAAGCTCAATTTGAACTGGTATAATATGATTATTTAAAGTAGGGGCGGTTCCGGGATTTAAATTAGCAGATAGGATAGGGAGTTATCCCTATCCACTCAGAGAGTCAAGATCCAAATAAATATTTGGATTAGGAAACTCCTAATAAGATTAGGAGGGTTGATCTTTATCTACAGATAAGATAAGTGTTTATCCTTATCTCTTAAAGAGAGTCCAGATCCAAATAAGATTTGGATTAGGAAACTCCTAATGGGATTAGGAGAACCTCTCTTTAAGGCTATAAATAGAGGAGGAGGGCAAACCCTAGTTCATCCAACAAGATTGCAATCGCAAGAGAGAAGACAACTCCAGTGAGACTGACACCATATTCTGCTTTTGCCTCCTTCTATTGCTGCCGCCATAGCCAGTTCGTTCTCCACCTGTAGGAGCGATCAAGAAGCGCTCTTAATATCAGTTTTTGGTGAAAAACTGACCTGAAGTCGTGCTCACTCACCCTCCATCGAATTCTTGCTGAAGAGTTCGGTTCTTGCTGAAGAACCACCTGCTGATTCTGCTCCACCCTACGCTATGTCATCTTCAGTGAGAGCAGTCCTTGGCGTTTTCCTTGGGCGTGAACACCGTCGGTGGGAGTTACTGCTACTCCGTACCAGGTATATCCCTCTCCTACCTTTTGGTTTCAGATCTAGTCCGGTTTAAGTTCAAGATTGATCCTCGAAAATGCAATTTTCTAAAATAGGAAATGTGATTCCTATATGGGAGAGAGAGAAATTTTTGAAATTTCGCCCTACCTTCCTGCAGGGTTCAGCTATCCATATGATGGATCTCTCATCCCTTCACGAATGGGATAAACAAAATTTGGAGTTTAAAAGTTCCCCCCAAATACAAGGTTTTCATGTACCTTCTATTGAACAAGAAATTGCCTTCTAAGAAACTGCTGATTTCTATAAGGTTTAACATTGATGGGGAATGTGGGCTTTGTGGCAAAGAAGTTATTGACCATATCTTTATAAACCGTCCCCTAGCAAAACAGGTTTGGCTAACCACTAACGGCCATTTAAATGTTTCGACCAATTCTAGTGGTTCGATTGTGGAGTGGTGGAGCTTCTTGAATCATGAGGGTGGTGCGGGTGGAGGTGATCCTCTCAAAAAGGAAAGTTTACCTTGTTGCTATGGTAGTTATGGAAAAGACACAATGAGAATATATTTAACCGTAAAAACTTGTCCCCTATCATTATTGATAGAGCTCGAGACGCCTTTTTGGAAATTAGATCCCTTTATGTATTCCAATTTCGATTGTCTTAATGATAAATTTAGTATTCCTATGAAATGGATCAATCAGGACATGAATGAGATTAATGTGAACTTTGACATCTCGTATATTAGTAAAGTCTACACTGTTGTCCGTGTTTCTAGAAATCACCTTGGCTAAATCCTGGATGTCAAGTCATACAAAATTGGTTCTAGTTCTATTAATGTGGTTGAGGCGTGGGCTACATGGGAAGGCCATAACATTAGGTGCTCAACTTTTCCAACAAAGATATTATAATCGAAGGTGTGACTCAAAACTTGTAATTGACAGCTTAAACAACCCTGTAGATTCTCCATGGAGATTAAAGACAGAGGATTGCAGGTTACTGAGATTGAGGGTTAAAGGGCAAGTGGAGTATCGTCATACCTTTCGAGAAGAAAATAAAGTTGCAGGCTGGTTGGCTAACTTTGTGCACAACAATGTTCTTGCTGCTTCTTTCTTCTTTGTATCTCTAGGTTATATTTGTTGTTTCGATTTGTGGGGTGGTTCTACCCCGTAACTCTTCTTGGAATTAGCAAAAAAAATCTTAGGGAGATGTTGCTTTTGGGAGATCCCATCGCACTGTTTCTGTTGGTCCATGTGTCAAGGTTAGATAAAAATAGGGAGGTTCTAATGATTAAACCTAGAAAAAGCCCTAAGTCTCTTTAAGCGATTATTTGGCATCGATGCCGTTGCTCCATAAAACGATGACACATCAGCACCATGTCAGAAAAAACGGTGTTCTAGGAAACATCTGTTTGTTTGGAACCATTTTTTCATAAAAAACGATGCTCTAAGCCACGCCTTGGAAATTAAGAAGGCGTTGTTTGGAGTAACGTCAAATTTGACGTTTTCTTATATTGGAGCTCATTGTTGCCAACAATGACGTGATGCGGACTTTTTATAATGGGTACCAATGCAGCACTAGTATCAAACAGAAAGTGTTGTTGTTGCTCCAGAAAACGTCCTACCTGACAATAATGTTTCTAAACAAAAAAAGACACCGTTGTATTTCCAACTCACACATCAGTCGAGAAAACGGTACAGTATTTGCAGCATTGATGCCAAACATATACTAAATGATTTATCGTAAGGTTCAAAAACCAATACGCCATGATATTTTGAAATTTGTGGGTGTATGACAAAACCTAGTTTTTCTGAAATTTGTGGATTAGAAGAGCCAAATGCTCACCCCAAGGCCGTAAATTTATAGCTTATGACGTCCTTTAGGACTCCGGACCTCCTGCCCACATTTGTCCACAACACACTATCTCCGTAAATTGGGAATATCTCCCCGTACATAATACTGTATAAGAATGGTCCTACATTTACTCACAGCACACTACCTCCATCAATTGGAAATATCTACCCGTGCATAATATTATGTAAGAGTATTTGGCAGGACCGCAGGAGATCCGGACTCGTTTTTTAGAGTTGTCTTTTGCTCTCGAGAAAGAGATATGCGTTGCTGTCAGTTCACCGGAGAGAACGGTGCATTTCCAACCACCCGTTTAGTTGAATTGACGAAAACGCCCTCTACACGAGAAGACAGTTGAGCCACTCATTCTTGACTCTTCTGTTAAATTGATAAAAACGACATTAACGGTTTAATGGAATCACTTCTCCATCCACAACACACTCTTCAGTTCAGTCTTCACCTCTCTCTCTCTCTCTTTCTCTCTCTCTCTCTCTCTCTCTCTCCATGATCACCTGCAAGGCTTCAAGCTTCAGTTTCAATTACTTCGCTCTCCAACCCACCTGCTCAAGAAACTATAGAAATCTAGGGTTTCTAACCGGGCAGACTTCTCGGCGCGACGGCTGCAGAGTTTTCTTTTCGCTCCACGGACAGAAGAACAACCCCAGGAGTAATTCTACGAGGGATAGTAAATGGAGAGATGATGAGGATGATGATGAAGACGAAACTCGTAAGGTGCATTGCGAAGTAGATGTCATCTCGTGGAGGGAACGGAGAATCAGAGCAACGGTTTTGGTTTATGCCGATATTGAATCTGTCTGGAACGCTCTAACTGATTACGAGAGGCTTTCTGATTTTATTCCGAATCTCATTAGCAGGTAAAGGAGGCTATCTTCAGCATTTCTTATTACGAGAGTTCTCCTTTTTTCCTGTCCTTTTTGTGTTAATTATTTGAAATCGGTATATGCATTTTCGGAAGCGAAGAATGATTTTGGATGGCAGTATAGGTTCTTTTAGCCGTGGGTAAATGTTCTTGCACATGCACACCTCTCTATTTGAGCAGGAAAGAGACCTAAACTGCTTCCCCAACAACCAGAACCTCATCTAAAATATGGACAAACTTTTCAGCATCTGGAAATGTCCTGTACTGAAAATTTACTAACTCACTGTAAGCTTCTTTTATTTCATTTCCTGCTCCTTTTTTCTCCTCGAAACTTTTCAGCATCTGGAAATGGGTATTTTCTTCTGTTGTTGAGTTGGCCTATCCAAGAGCTTTTGGTATTTAGTTGGCCCTTTCTTTCATCCTAGTTTTCTTGGATCTCAATGAATAAAACCATTACTTAATGTTTCTCATAAAGATCATTTTATCTTATTGTTTTTCTGTAATGCTAACACATAGGATCCTCTTTTTTTGTGCCTCTATGATATTAATACACACTCTAATTTCCTTTAATTCTATGATTATATTGCATGATTTCTTGTTTTCTAGTGGGAGAATTCCTTGCCCATATCCAGGGCGCATATGGTTAGAGCAGCAAGGCTTTCAACGAGCATTGTATTGGCATATAGAAGCTCGTGTTGTCTTGGATCTTCAAGAAGTCATAAATTCAGTAAGATTTTGAAACCTCTAGGAGATATGCATACAACTAAGTTGCTGCAAATTATTATTAGAAGACTTTTGGTATTTTTCATCTATTTAAGTTAAAGGAGCTGCTAAGTGGCTGTTTAGTTTTTCTGAAAACCTAAAGGCTGCATTGAAATCTAGCAGGGTATCCATTCAAAAGTGCTTAAATGGTAGAAGTCCTTAAATGCTTGCTTGTACATTTTTTTAAACTTACTCTTATCAAATATTATTGTAGTTCTACTTTCTAGGTACACGTTATTTCATATCTTTTCTGGTCATTGACCATCACAACTCTGATTCATTGCTCATTGTTTAGACTAATGGCCGCGAACTACATTTCTCCATGGTTGATGGGGACTTCAAGAAGTTTGAAGGAAAATGGTCCTTAAAATCAGGCAAAAGGTAAAACCCATGTATTCAATCTGACTGATCATATATTATAATGTTGAAGATATCATTCCATGGTTTTGTTGTATTTTATCATTCACATGGGCCAATCCGAGAATTCTCTTTTTCATTCACTTATCATACCTTTATTTTTGGAAAGCACACATGCTAGGCCTGCTTCAAAATATTCCCTTTATTTCTCATAGTTCTTTGCAGTCTATGGCCCCAGCTTATAGAAAATATGTATGATTGAAAAGATAATGGAGATGCTAATTTCATTGCAATGAATACTAAAGTAATATATACACCCCTCCTCCTAATGGGGTAGAGGAGGCAAAATGCCTTTTTGGTTGATAGATCTTAATTCTTGATGTATCCACAACGACAAACAAGATTTGTAGGCAAGCTAGCAGATGCTAGTTTGGGGTGGGGGGTTTGTAGTATTTGATTTGTAAGGTGTATGAGGAATATGGGTACTTAAGGAAGAAAGTTTATGTTCAGGGAATTTAATTTGATATCAACCCTATTGGGGGTTTCTTGTAATTTTGGATAGTCTTGAACTCTTGATATTATATAAAGTGTTTCTGTCATTAGAGAGACATGGCTTGGCATGTGATATTGTAAAACCAAAAATTCTCTCATTGTCTATTTTCTACTATTCCATCTTATCTCTTTTTCTCTTGATGCATTATTCATGACAAGACTCTTACTGATGCTGTAGATGGTCTTCTCTTCATGTGACAAAATAATTCCCCCAGTATTGAACATTGTTGGTCCCAAACCTGAATAACTAGGTGTGTGGTTCAAAGTATTGATACACTCGGTACTTAAAAATTGTGTATTGGGCAGTTAAAATGGATAAAATACATAGATTAAAAATTAAATAGGTTTTAAGAATTGAGTCAGGACATCTTTAAGAGGGGTATTAACCTTTAAAATTGGCTAGATTTCCAAACTCATGTATTTAGTGTTTTGGTGACCCCAAGATATGATACGATATGCCTGAAATAGGGCATATTATATCGATACTTTGAACCTTGGCTAGGTGTTGTAATTCCATATAGAACTTTCTTAAGGTAAATCTTATTCTGATTCTTATTCAAATAGACATTAGATGCTGATTTCTCGACTTTGTATTACCTTGAATTTGATTACTAAATCCATGAACCTTAAATTCTAATATTATTTATGGCTTGCTGACTGAAGTCCTATAATTTGTTTCCTGTTTTAATGTTATTTGAGTGGTCCATGTTCACTTTGTCATCCGTTAGCTCTAAACCTAGAGTTAGCTGATTGCCTCTTTTGGGCTCCTCAAGGCCCTAACAAGCCAAGAATATTTTGTCCCTATCTAGCCTCTCTACATAATGTCTCAATTTTTTAGGAATGCTATAGAAGCCCTTCATCTCCTTCCAGCCCCCAACTCTCAAATCCTGGAGAAAAATGCAATCAACCCTTCTATAAAGGCCAAATTCTCAGTTCTCACCAAATTACCAGTAAACCTAGAAGGCAATGATGACCTCTTCACCATATCTGGAAACTTGAATTCCACAAAGACTTGGATTTGCCCTTGAATATAATACATGATTGATAAGCAAAGTTGTAAATTTAAATCATGTAATTGAATATCTTTGGTTTGGGTTTTAGAGAAAGTAGAACTATCAAGAAGCATCTTTTCCATAATTAGGTGTTGATATCTAGGATGGAAAGCTTTGATATGGAAACTGAGACAATATGAAGAAGAGTTGTTTTTGTAATTATGAGGGTGCTTGTTATTCATCAAAAAAAAAAAAAAAAACAGGATGGTTGTTTTGAGTGAGACTTTTAAGATATTTCATCAACTTATGAGGTCTGTGTTTGGAATGGTTTTATGAAGTGTTTGCTGGACTACCAGATTTTGTGATTGGAGATGGTTCAAGAGTCTGCTTTTGAGAGGATGAATGGAGTGAAATTGGGAGGATTCATGATTTTTTTTCCAAGATTGTTTTGGATTGGTTACAAGTACATCAATGTTTTGAAACCAGAAATTTTCAGATTGTTTTGTACCTTACATTTGGACTTTGGAAGACTGTTGCTTGAAAGAGAAATTAAGGAGTGAGTTTCTCTCTTCAGATGGTTGGAGACATTGAAGATCATGCCTTCACAAGATTGTACAAGGAGCATGTAAACAATTGCTTTACTTTTGAGTTTTCTTGTGAGTAATTAATAACTATAAGAAATCAGTTTGATCACTAGTCTTTGTTTTCTGTATAATATTCATGAAGAAGATATTGTGCATCTGCTCATTCATTCATTGCAGAGTCCAGTTTCTTTTGGTAGAAAACCATTTTTCTTTTTCTTTTCGGGTAACATGGTAGCAATCCATTAAAGTCCTCTTCAGAACACTTAGTTAGATGTTATATTTTTCTCTTTCTTGGACTTTGGAAGTAATATTATTCATATACTGACAGTAATATCTGAGACACTATTCAATGTATGAAACATTCAAGAGTCTTTAGCAAATTTAATCATAACATAATCCATATATTTTGCAGGTCTTCAACAACTATTTTATCTTATGAAGTTAGTGTGATACCACGTTTCAACTTCCCAGCCATTTTCTTGGAAAGGATTATCAGATCAGATCTTCCTGTGAACCTTCAAGCCTTGGCTTGTAGAGTGGAAAGAAATTCTGAATGGAATCAAGAGGCAATGATCATGGGAAGAACCTTGAATGGAACTTCTAAGGCTGTCCTTCCCTCACCTACAATGGACTTGTCAAGTGGATTATATGAGAAAGACAAACTGTTCCCCAGTGGGTCGAAGGAGAACCATTCAAGTTCTAATTTTGGTCCCTTGCCTCCTTCCACTAAGTTCAACAGTAACTGGGGTGTATTTGGAAAACTTTGCAGACTTGATAGGCCTTGCTTGGTAGATGAAGTTCATCTTCGTAGATTTGATGGTCTATTGGTAACTGATTGATTTTACACTTTCATGACCTTTAATTCTATATTACACTTTTAATGTAGTTTCTGATTAAGTGGTTTTTGGTGAAGGAAAATGGAGGTGTTCATCGTTGTGTTGTTGCCAGTATTACTGTGAAGGCACCTGTTCGTGAAGTATGGAATGTTTTGACCGCTTATGAAGCTCTTCCCGAGTAAGTACAATATATTCTTTCTTCACTAATGATTTATTTGTTAAAGTTGTTATTTTTTAGTTTGTTTATATAGATATAAACTAGATGCCATACAGATTATCTACTGCAAACTTCCTGACAAAATTACCTGCATAAATGATTCTCTCTCTCCCTCCCCCCTTTCCAAACTTCCCTATAAATTGGATTGGTGGGAATTGCTCCTTTTCCATGAAAATTGTAGGGTTCCTCTCTTCCCTGGACCACAGAATCACACCTCTGGTGCTTCTCTAAATGATCTCCCCCTCATTGTTGATGGGAACAAGAGATCAACTCTAAATAAATTGGGAATGACCACATGTGGTGCATTGAACAAGTATTAGAAATGACCATATCTCACATCAGTAACTGCATGTAATGAAGAAAATGTGTGAGTTCGCCATTTGTGTTACATGTTGTAATGGGTGATTAAGGGGGTGTTGACAACATGATTGGTTTTCTTATTGAAAACATAAGCAACTGCCACATCAACAAAATTATATTGTCTTTGCTGATGTGGAAGCTGTTTTTGTTTTCAAAAACTAAACCAACCACGTTGTCAAACACCCCTAAGTGTGTGGGCCGATTCTTATGTTTATGTTATTTATTTTATTGTTAAGTTGGACCTGAAGTTATTGGGCCCAGATTAGTTGCTTTTTATTTAAGTTTGTGTGTCCCTTCACTAATCAGGGGCACACTTGTCCTTTAATGTATTATTAGACGCTTTAATATAAAAATCACTTTAGGGCCAGCTGAGAACACTTTTTCCACCCATTCGTTCTTTCTTCTCAACTGTTTTCTCTTCTTGCTCTTCTACTCTTGCAGGTCAGCAAACATGGTATCAGAGCACTAATCAACCTGATTGTTGATTGTTTCAACCGTCTCTTTCTCCTATTTTCTCTTTCTATCTTCCTTTTATTTTCTGGTTACTTGTGATGAAACCCTAGGTCTGATTGTACCACACAAAGAGGTTTGTATCTAGGGTTTCTGTGTGGGTGTAGGGTCCAAAGAGGCGTTTTTCCAGCCTGGTGTATGCCTTACTAGAGCTTGTTCACAACTAGTAGACACTCTGATACTAGAGAGATCTATTTTAAGGAGAATTGAGTGGACAGTCCTAGATTAAGCTTGGAGGATAGTTCTTGGTGCAGCCGATTACAGTAGAGAGGTCTCTCCAGTATCTGTGTGGTTGCAACTGTGTGGTTGTCACTATAGTGTCCAACAGGGTAGAGTTGTTAGTTCGAGTAGGAATGGCAACAGGGCAGGGATCATATTCCCCGTCCCCGACCCTGATTTTGAAATAAATCCCCATCCCTGACCCCGATCCCCATTGGGGATAAAAGTTGTCCTCCATCCCTGATCTCCGATGGAGATGGGTTCCTTGTGGGACTCGAATTCTCAAAATTTTTTAATTAACAGTATTTTTGAAAAATAAATTTATTTAAAATAAAGGAAAATTTTAAAATATAAATAATATTTTAAATATTTTGATATATAATATAAATAATATTAGATATATAGAATAATATATATTTAATATGAAAATATTTAATATATATAATTAGGGTCGGGGCGGGGATGGGGATGTCAAAGCAATCCCCACCCTTGACCCCATCAGGTCGGGGAGGTTGGGTACCCGGTGGGAATGGGGAAAATTGCCATCCCTAAGTTCGACCTCAGATTTCAGCAAAGTATTAGCCTGATTTTTGGGTGACAGCTGTTGTAGTGTTGTTGATAGGGGGAACCATGTCTACAATCTTAGGAGAAGTGTCTTCTAAGGACAACCAAACTGTTGGGAGAGCCTCAAATCTTGATAATCCTAACTTGCACAGTTTACAAATCATTAGTGTGTTGTTCGATGAGTATAGTTTCAGATAATGGTTAGTTTCAACCAAATTGTTTGTAGAGTTGTAGGGCAGTAATGTCTTTATTTATATTGCTGTCAGTGTCAGTAAGTTAAGTTAGTTATTTCTGTTATTATTTTAAGTTGCTGACATGTTATGTTAGTAGGGGCAATATTGTAAGTGTACATTTTTTAAATCTTTAATATCTCTCTCTCTCTCTCTCTATATATATATATAACTGAGTGGTGCAGGGGTTTATAGTTTGTATATTCCCAGTTTATTGGTCCTTGGAAGATTGACGTGGAAAGTTACTATGGCTGCAACTATTAGAGTGGTTTGGTAAGCAAAGTTCTTTGAGAGAAAATACATGGAGTTTGTGCATGCAGGTCGGTGGAGATCCTTGAAGGTAGAAGCAAAAAATATTTTGATCGAAAAGATGAGAATCAAGGGGAAGGTAAGTCTGAAGGTAAGGGAAGTGGAAAAGGGTACAATACTGCTGGAAGGATTAGAAGTGGTTGAGTGGCTAAGAGATTTCATAGCTGGAGCCTGCTCAAATGGCAAGTCGATAAACTGCCAGGAACTTAGTACATTAGAAAGGAGAAGATATGTAGTTGAATGTAAGAGGAATAGAAAAGGCTCCTTCATAGCTTTTGCTGAATATTTTGGCATGGGATGAAGGCAACTGGTGTGTCTACCAGCAGGAAAACAGAGCCAAGGATGGGGGTAAGTTGACAGGTTGCTCAAAGAGTTTTTAGCTCAAAGAGTTTCAAATGAAAAATAAGCTTTCACAAGGGAGGAGAAGGCATACCAGAGAAACAGCAGGGTAGAACAAGAGCCAGTGGTCATGGCAAAAACAAAAGGCCAACGCAGAATGGTGGGTGGTCTATAGAGAAAAGATTGGGACAGTAAGTTTGTGATATAAACCAAGGAACAGGTTAATGATTGGAGGAGGGTAGCTGATTTACTGACAACTAGTTTGAAGCTGAAAAGAGTCTTCATAGTAACCCCCTTTGATAACTGTAAAGCCCTCTTAGATCCAGCAGAGAATGAAGTGGAAATATCAGCTCTCAATATTCAGGATGAGTTCGGATCATTCACAGTCTTCAAATGGAGTACATCTAACTCCAAAGACTTCTTTGTCGAAGATGGTGTGGTGGTGTGTGTAAAAGGCCTGCCATTTCATCTGTGGAAACAAGAAGTACAAGAATCTATAGCAATATTGTATGGAGGACACTTAGAAGTAGCTCTGGGGTGATCTTTATTCAGCAGAAATTCTGCTAAGTGGTGTGAAGCCAGAAGATATTCCACGAAAGGTAGAGGGACGAATAGAGGGGAGTTTCATCTCAGTGTGGCTAGCATCCTCCATTGAAGCAGGGCTGTGGAAGGAGGCTCGCATGGAAGGAGGTGAAAAGGAGGAAGAAGAAGCTCTACGTGGATTTTTGAGATTGGCTAGTTCAAATGGGGAGGAATGTTTCACTAAAAAGGGCCAACAAATTCTGGGAAGCCAAAAAGATTTGGGGAAGATGGAAGGTCAAACCCGTAGAGCAAGGAAACCCTCTGACAACTGGTAGATCTTATGCGCAGGTGGTTTCAGGGGAAAAAGACAAAAATTTTCAAGTTGGTAAAGGAGGGAGGGTTGAACCAACAACCTCAGATTGGTTCAAAAGGGAAGGTTGCTGGTTCGACTTTTAAAATAGGGGGGCATGACCTTTTAAAAGGTCACGTGAGAGGAAAAGAATTAGAAAGTGGGCCCATTCGAGTGGATCCCAATCCTGGTGGGCCGGAGAAGGCATCTCAAGTAAAGTCCATTAATTTGAGTGCTCCATTTAAAAGGTTCGAGACCAAGGCTCAATCCAGGATAGATGGGCCAAGGGACCCTTTAAGTACTCACGTGACTGGGAGGAGGGACAAGTTGATGGACGATAATAAGTGTCTATCTTCTACTTTGAATCCCTCCTATCGGTCGAACGCTTCAGGCGCAAGGTCTCAAGATTATTAGTTTCCAGGCTCTTTACAGTGGGTCCCCTCCAACACGGCAAACCGTCTCTCACCTGATAGGCACAACCCAAGATGTCTGAAACATAGCGATATTAACAGAACAGGGATCGTAGACTGGTCGAGTGAACAAGACAGCAGTGATGATTTTGATAGTGATGAAACTGTAAGTTTGGGAAGTGTTACTCTGAAAAGCAACAACGATCTACTTGAAACAAAAAGTCTGCATACAGAGCTGCTGTTTATAGAGGAAGAGATTGAAGATGTAGGTTTCGGGAAAACTACAAATGGTGAAGAAATTGGTCTTAAACCTGTGCAAGCTCCTCTCTCCTCCACCGAGGGAGATGATCCTGAGTCTAATGAACTGCAAGATGTTGGTGGAGAGGGACAAAAATCTGCTGTGAGGGTGGATATGGGTAATCTAGTGTCGGAAACACAGAGAAAGGAATTCCATGTGGGTAGGTCGTCAGGAAGTGATATTTTCACTACGTCTACTTCACAACATTGCCTAGAAAGGGAAAAGGCCTTAAAACTAAACGAAGCCTGTCAACAACTCAAATCCAGTGATCCTAGTTCTACCCCCATCCTACCAGGTATGGGTGTCATTTCTGTTTTGTGTACCGACTTGTGTGCTATGCTTGTAACAGATATTCCAGCTTCCCATCCAGGAGGTTTTGATGTAAGAGAGAGGGTGATAGTGGAAGGAGAGGGTGGTGAAAGGAAGAAGGGGGAGGCAAATAGAATATGGAATTTGATTTGTACAGTGCTGGGGGAACTAAAAAAAAGGAAGGAGTCATAGAGAGTTGTTGTAGCCAAAAAGAGTGTGAGCATGGTAAAGTTCTATTTCAGACAGTGGCTGGAAAGGATGGAGAGAAGGAAGAGGATGCTTATTGTATCAGGAAGGGGGGGGGGGAGGAATAAAGAAGAAAAAAAGATCTGAAGTGGAAAGGCTAATCTTAGACATTGAGGGAGATTTAGAATTTAGTGGTAGAGGGGATAGGAGGAAGGGCCTAAAATAAGGAGACTAAGGCTTCTTCATGGGTGTTTTGCTATTTTTGTCTTTGTTGCGAAATACAGAGGGAGAAAAGAAGATTTTCTTTATTGATTATGAAAACATATTGAGCATACAACTTAAATAAGAAAAGATAG